TTTTTTCCCATTTCTCTGCCGCTGCTTTAAAAATCTTAAAAGTTCTTAATAATTTTAATTCCATGGTACCTTGTATTTAGATGTTACTTCTGCTTAGCACTCAAGCTGTCCTCTTCTTCCCTGCTCCTGCACACACTTGTCTGATCAGATCTTCCTCTTCAAGGTAGCTATTTTGACCACCGCTACTGACGTCTTTGGAGAGGAGTAAATGCCAAGCTTAGGAGGGGAGATGTGGCTCCCCTCAACCCAGCTGGAGGTCTCCCCCTTCTTCGCCACCTCTATGGAGTGACTTTCGACCCAAATCAGGTAGATCAGGGCCCTCCAACGGAGAGCACGAATCAAAACTACGGATGATCACGGATTTCAGTTTGTCGCCGAGCAAGAATTTGCTTCTCTCTTAAATATTGGAAGCCTGCTATCATGTCGCTCCTAGACCTTCTCTTCATTAAATTAGACACTCCCACTTTTCTCAACTATTATCTTTATGCAATATGTAAATATAACATAATTAATAAATATAATAAATACTATCTATATCAGTATAAATATGTATTTAGGCAATATATAAAGAAACAATAGCCACAAAGCACACAAAGAATGGTAACAGCATCAACAGCAATCCTTCAAGGTATTTGAATTTCAAGGTACTTTGCTCATAAACCTTCAACTTTGTTTCCCAAGCACTGGCTTAGATTTGACCTTAACTGCATGCCTAGATTTAAAAAAAAAAAGCATGCTGTTGTGGAGCTATTAAAGATAATTGAATACCCTATCAACATGAAGATATAGCTCCCTCTCTGCACCCAGTGAAATTTATTTACTGTTTCTATACCATCACAACCTTTTGGTAGTAAACAAAAAGAAACAATAAAATCAATATGTAATATCAACAGTTTAAATATATCGTAATCTAAAACCAAAACTAAATACATAGTTTAATTATTATAGTACCCCTCTCCCCCAGCACTTCTCACTGAATCTGGGGTGTTGCTTATTGACACCACATGACTTCTTGGTCCTGAGACACACTGGCTCTTCACTTGAAAACTACTTGAGCTACATTAGGCAAGGACGTGGATTTAAACCTTCACATTTATTGAATTTTTCTTCAAAAACCATTTAAACACATTGTTCACTTTTCAGTCTCATCATCTTTTCATTCAGAAAGAAGGTTTATATTCAGCTAAGTATTTGAACCCCAGAGGGAATGAAGAATCGGCAATTTACTCATAATTGCTATTTACCACAGTCATCTGTGAATTCACACAATTACTTCATACCCCATCTGCTCTCAGATGACTTTACTGTCTTGTTGGATATGGTGTATCAGTTTTAGAAACTGAAGGTGTTCTGCAGAAGCCACAACTAGTTATCCAGTATAAAAGACGGTCAGTGTACTCCCAAATCATGCTTAGACCTATAGTTTTCCAAATGCGGCTGTGTACAAAGGCATAACCCAAGTGGCTTAATTCAAGAAGGACACTAAAAAACTCAAGTTAAAAGTAAATGATCAGGATTTTCCTGTTATTTGTTCAGTGATGACAGAAGAGGAAACTTCTATTGTGTTACTAAGTCACAATAGAAGCCTTAATAGATGTTACACAAGAGATGTGTAGAGATATCTGGAGATAGATGTATGACGGCTATTTCTTGCAACTTTTATATCCTGAAAGTAATATTTAGTTAACCTGTAGAACTAATTACAGAAGATGTACTGATGATATTACATAGTGTGGTAATAAAGTTCAGAGAACACCAAGAACTGCACAATTACAAAAGAGCTTCAATCTGGATGGTCGGTAAAACCATAAGAAGATAAGATAGAAATTCATATGTTGATTTAGGCCATTTCAGTGCAGCACTTTGATGTCACAGTGGCCAACCAAATGCCTCAGGAGAGTTCAAAGCAGGAGGGGGAGATTTACAACACTTGCACTGTTGTTCTCTTGCCACTGATACTTGGAGACTCCAAACCTAAGTAACAGTGCATAATCAATAAACTTTGCAGATCTATTCTCTATGAACTGATCAGTATTTAAACAAACTAAGCTAGTGGCCATCCTCCTGTTTTGTAATATGGAACTCCACAAATTAATTATGGGTTTTGTGGGAAAATGTGGTTGCTTGTGGTTGCTGTATTAAATTTAAAACTTTAAACAGTTTCATTGAATCATCTCTATCTTGATTTTCAAGAAATTCTCCCTGTCTATTTTCTGCATATCATGCTTAATTTTCACATTTAACGTACATTGAACTGTATTTTCTATTTGGTTGCCCACTCATCCAGTTTAAATTTCCTTTCTGTAGCTCTTCACAAACATTTTCATTATCATCAACTTGAATACTTTGGTATTATTTGCAGATTTAGGCAGCTCAATGTGCTTAGCCTAGATCATGATAATTTATGAATAAATTAAGAAGTCCCAATCTCAGCAGAGAGCTCTGTGGTACTCCACTTCTCATTTCCTTCCACTGAGAAAATTGTTCATTTATCCCCACACGTCACTTCATGGTTTTTTTTTTTTTTCACTCAGCTAACAATCTATAAAGAACAGTGCATCTTATTCCTTGAGCACCAAGTTTTTGTCAGAAGCTTTTTCAAAATCCAACTATGCAGTGTTGATTATGTCATTCCTTCATTTGCCTTTTGTCACTTGTAAAGAACTTTAGAAGGTAGATATACTATTGCATCGTCAGAACTAATTTTACTTCAGGGCTTGTTTCTTTGCCTACTGATTATTATTTTTCTTATTATTACATTTCTACCACTTAGATGTATTAGTACATTTTGTGTATTCTGGAATTATACGCTGCTGCTTAATGGCCCTTCAAAAGGATCCGGGAAGAAAGTGTTTTCTCCCTCTCGCCCCCATCCTCCTTATCTTTTCTGTTTGCTTGAATTTATGTTTCTGAAATTGCTGCTGTATCAGCTTTGGAATATTGACTTCAGATATTTCCTATTCTTTTTCCACTTAGAGATTCTTTTGTTTACCACCCTGTGTCACAATTGTGAGTTTGATGGCGATATAAATTGATATAATAATATAATAAAAATAAATGCTGCCAATTTATGAATTGATAACATTAATTCTTTTATTTGGTACTGAGATCTAGACTATCTCTATGCCTGAGCACATTTGGAATGGGAAGGTACTTCCTACCAGAGCATATAAACACGTTATTCTTCCTTGACAAGAAGTTAGTAGCACTATTGAATTTCCTCCTCCTTGTAAGGTTAAGCGAAATGCTTCAATAAGCCCAATCCTTCTGTTCTTTCACATCTTTTGTAACACATGAAAATAGGAGTGCAGCAATAGCCCTGCTGAACAATGTAGAATATCCTCTTGACTATCTAGTCAAGTAATAGTAGTTTCTATAGCTAATATGACTTCTTATTTTTAAAATTATTGGTTCAGGAACATGTTACCTATAATACGCGGCACATGCAACTGTTGTAAGATTTTATTGCCCTCTAAATAATTAACAGTGAAGTTGAGATGCTTAGAATTAAGTGCCTTAATGGTGAAGACACTCACCTCCTCCTTGGAAGATTTAGAATTCAATCCTAGGTAGCAGCAGATGTTTCTCTTCTTGGGCACAAAGAAAAAACATCTGCTGTGATGCCATGTGGCATCAGGAAGAGCATCCAGCCAGTAAATGCTCCACTCCATCCAGTCGCTCAGACTGTACCCCAAATTAAGGGATTACGGGATCATAAAAAGGGAGTTGAGATGCTTAGAATTCTAAAGACCTTGTCACCAAAATGAAGCATGCAAATTGCAGCATCTAATTCACTTCTGCTAGAATTAGTGTTACTTATTTGGAGCCATTTCAACATTTTTTCAACCTTGCTGATATTTCTCTACCTTCACAACTTGTAATATCTGTGCTGAATCTTGATTATGCTTTTGTTCCGAATTCTGGTCATTCATTAATTTAGGATGGCAGTTCAAAATTAGAATTGTTCATGCTAATTTTTTATTTAGAATTCCATACTCAGTAATATCATGTTTCTGCAAATATCAGTTCTTAGAAGATTGGGTACCCAAGCCACTTGTTTTGTTTTTAATACCAGATTTGAAAATAATGGGGGTGTGCTAGTTTGAAGTGATATTAAAAATTATTTTATAACATACTGTATTTTAAGACCTGCAAAGAGTCAAATTTATTCAGGAATCAAGGTATCAGCTTAGATAATATAGCTTGGCATTTATAATGATTTTGTAAATATAAGCCACTGAGGAATGCTACTCTGCAACTGCTATTAATTTCAGTATAATACAGGTAAAACCTGAACAAATTCCAAAGAAGTGAGTGGATTTTGTGAAGCATTAGCATATTGGCAAATGGCCCAGGTAGTGGATGAAACACAATTCTATCAATTCTATGTATGATGTTAATGCTACTGATTCTCTGTAATGCTGCCCTCAGTTGTTAATTATTGTCTATTGTATAAAAGTAAGGGAAGGTTTCTGAATATTGGACACTGGTGTCAAATAGTAGTGGGAAGCTATAAAGTTCATACTATGTTTCTGGCAAGCCAGAGGTATTAAGTTGGTCAGTATTGGAAAAAGAATACTGAAATAAATCAAATTCAGGTCAAAATCATTCTTAGTCTGATATGGCAAGACACTTTCTGTTCACTGACTTATTGTATGGATCAATATTCCATCTTAACAAATTAACTGTTGCTGAATGATTAATGTCTACAATGCTGGGAAAAAGAGATAATCTTTATCTGTATATTGGTCAATGAACAGGAAAAAAATACAACATATGTTGGCACTGTTGGTTTGGATCGTCAAAATGTAAAGGCATTTATCATCTGAATTATACAATGAAGCACAGATTAAGAAATGGAAGGATTTTGAAAATTTAAAGATTACATTCTGTGCTTGTTGTTCATGTAGTTTTTATTGCTTTTGAATTCTACAGATATATTTTGCATGCTTGCTTATCCTCAGAAATTGCCAAATTTCTCATGCATATTATTCCTATAGGTATCAGTGGCTTTAATAAGTCTGTTGGAAACTACACTACTGGGCTATCTCAGTTACAAAGTAAGTATATTGTAATCCATTCTTTTGCTGGGTGATACTCTAGGCATAGCAGTCTTCAAGTATAATATTTAGATAATAACAGAATTTTCTATTTTTAAAATCTGATGTAATAAAAACCCTAACAATTTGTGTGTGTGTGTGTACTTCCCTCTTTCTTGAAGTACCATGCGCACCTAAAATCTTCTTATTTTTAAATATTTATTCAGAAACTAATATTGGTATTTATTAGTTGTTTTTCCTTTGTTATGCACAACCCAGAGTCACTTGTGTCATGAGATGAGTGGCTGTACAAATTGGACGAGATGGATGGATGGATGGATGGATGGATTGATTGATTGATTTTAGTTGATGGTAGCACTTTTTTTCAAGCAAATTTCTGCCAGACATACTATTTTTTGAGATGCAGATTTTAATATCAGGAAAAAGAATGCAGAAACTGTATTGCATGCACATTAGAAATTAAAATATATTGTTGCTTTATTGATAACATTTGACTTGTAAATGTAATTGAATATTTATTACTCTGAACTCTGATATGTTTTGTAGCAAGGTTTTTCTATTCTTTTAAATATTATGAAGCATTTATATTTCTAATAACGACAATGATAAAAAATGGGAATCTTAGAAAAAGTTTGAATTATCTATGCTTCTTATATTCAAATAAAACGAGTGTTTTTCAGATTTATTTATTTTGCTATTAGTACACAACTAACTGAAATAGTGCTTTGGCTTACATACCTTGTCCATTTTTGAGTGCAATATGAACATCTGTATACTGGTTATCTACATACATACATGAAATATATACATGAAATATATCGGTACAGACACATACACACACATACAAATATACATTAACAAACTTGTGCCATATTTACTGTACCTGTAACTACCGTATTAGGAAATAGAGTTTTCTAGAGAATACTAAAATAAGCTGGACAGAAGAGAGAGCTGGTTGGTTTACCTCTAGTGAACCATGACATTAGTACAGCTCCTTCTTCTTAAAAGGATTTGCTATGTAGAGCTCTGTTTTGCCTAATCAGAAATTAGAATGTTTCTCGATGAACTACATATAAATCCTGTATGCTACTATGTGTCAACCATGAAGAACTAAGGTATTAATATGGGGGGAAATATCACTGCTGGCTATTAGTGTTGCATTTTATTTTACCTTGATTTTTAAAAGGGAAACATATGGGAACAAGTAGTACGCATTCCTTTCCTGCTGGAAATCATCAATGCTATTCCTTTCATCATTACGGTAAGTTTTTATCTATGATTTTTATGGGAGAGAAAAGGGGAAACAGCGACTAGAAGATTGAAAAATTATATTCATGAAAAGAAAAACCTTTGAAGCAAGGTTTTCTGTGAATCTATGGAAAAATTATGAGGTCCATTCAATTTTAATGCTCAGTACAAATTTCTTGATAGTTTTTTTTTTTTTTGCTTTTTTATTTAAAAAGAGACATGTGATCTCTAATTCTCAGGAAGCCTCATTATTTTTCCCATTATTGATTATTTATTAGTTACGTAGTAGAGATTGATGCTATTCTTTGTATAAGAATTTTAGAAGGGGGCAGGTCCATTGGAGATAAGATTGGGTGATTCTGATTGCTAGTAATGGCAACAGAAAATACATTTTTCATCAATTGCGTTCCACTAATCCCTTTGCCATGCAGATTGTGCCTTTCAAGTCAGCTTTTAATATATCATATATGAACATTGAAAAATGGCAAAATTACTTGTGTTACATGTTACTTGCAGATGATTCTGTTTGATGGATATCAGAATTCAAAATGAAGAAAGCCCTTGTGAAATCTGATATCTGCTGTTCATTTTGTGCAATATCTAGCACCAAAAGTGCCTTATGGAATCTTTTTTTAAATCATCAGCTTCCCCCGCCATACTCATACATACCCCATTTTATAACTTTTTGATCCTAACTCAACAAGCAAACTATAGTACACTTTAAAATTAGGGAGACACAAATTGTAGCTATTAACCCATGATTAATTCAGTCCTATAGGTTTTGGGTTAAACATAAACTTCACTTCAGAAGTATGTTTCTGGAGATTATATTGGGACAATAATTTTAATCAAAAATAAGAGTGGGATTGAAAAAGAATGGTCCAAATATCAAAATTGTCCCTGCTCAGGTGAAATGTCCTCTGTTATAGTTTTGCTAGGTTTGTTGTTGTCAAGTCGAAAACCACAGATATATGGAATTTAATTATATTAGATGTATTTCCATTTTTTTCCCAGTATTTAGATGCAATTACAGTGAATGAATGTTTGGAGGATGTATGTAATATGTTATATTTTTTTCCTTTAGATTTTCTGTCCTGCATTAAGAAATTTATTTATCCCAGTGTTTTTAAATTGTTGGCTTGCTAAACATGCTTTGGAGAACATGATTGTAAGTATGACAAAGTAGAGGAGATTTGTTTGAAGGGGAAAATTTCATATTTTCTATTTATGAGTCAATGCAAAAAAAGTCTGTTCTGTATTCCATGTAAACCATGGTCTCTAGATTCAAGCCACTGTAAATTAAATTAAATTGATTTAACTTCAGTTATCTTAGCTGATTTGCTTTTTGAACATTGATGTTGTATTGCTAGCATTTCCCATCACCTGTTTTATCTTCTATACACTATAGAAGTATATCTAGTGTGGGAATTCAAATGTGTTATCTATTTTGATAATAAAACTATTGGTCCAGCATAGATTCCTTTGATTGTTTTTTTTCCCCTAGCCTCCACCTGAGGATCTTTTCATGTCCCAACTTAATAAACACTAATTAAACTTGGCTTTTAAACTATGCTGCTAAGCAGAATTGGATGAGGGGAGAGAGAAGGAGAAAAATAAATATAGGGAAATGGTGAAAGAACTATATTTATTTATACCTGGTATACTTAGTTTGGAGGCCTGCATTCATTTTGAAAAGATTTTTTCAAAAGTTCTTATTAAAAGGCATCATGGTGCTTCCTTTTTTATATGATGCAAATTTCAATACTGTTGGCAAATGTAATTAGCTTGGGTTCAAAAATTTTCATTTAACTTCAGACTTTATTGAACAGTCCATTATTTTTTAAAAATTTTGATTTCCATCTCCTGAATAGAAATAATAGTAATCATTTCGTGCTGTACAGATTTTTGGCATTCTCGTCACAGTAGCAATAGCATTTAGGCTTATAAACCGCTTCACAGTGCTCTACAGCCCTCACTAAGCAGTTTACAGAGTCAGCATATTGCCCCCAACAATCTGGCTCCTCATTTTACGAACTTCGGAAAGATGAAAGACTGAGTCAACCTTGAAGATAAATCTATTGTTAATCATACAGTGACTACATACTCCAGGTAGTTCTTGACTTATGACCACAGTTAAGACCGGACTATCCATTGCTAAACAAGGTGATTGGTAAGTGAGTCACAGTTTTTTTGCCATGGTTGTTAAACTAATTACTGTAGTTGTTAAATGAATTGTGTGGTCATTAAGTGAATCCAGCTTCCCATTGAGTTTCTTGTCAGAAACCATTTGGGAAGATCACAAATATTGTTCACTTGACCCTGGGGATTGCAACTGTCATAAAAACATGCTGGTTGCAAGGCATCCAAATTTTGATCACAGCAGTCCTGGGGAGGCTGTGATAGTCGTAAGTGTGAGGACTGGTTGTAACTAACTTTTCAGTGACATTGAAGCTTTGAATGTTTGCAAAATAAATGGTTGTAAGTCAAGGACTACCTGTAGTTGGCTTATGGTTATTCGTTCTTCAGCCCCAGAAGATACAAAATATGCAGAATTATGTGTTCCTTTTCCTGTCATGAAAACATTGTAAAATTGAAGCAAAATTACCCACTGTTTTTCTTTCTGAATCTAAAGTCTTCTTATTTACTTCTTAAGCCATAAGTGGCTCAAATTAGAATGTAATTTTAAGGAATTACTATTTCATATATGGTTAGTTGATGTTTATTGACTTGTTTTCTGATAGTCTGTATGAAAGGATACCCCCGCCATTTAGTGGTAATGTTACCTTTGATGGCACCTCGTTTCAGAAAGCCCAATTAACTGTTTCATTATTTAGCTGTAGTACCTTTTTTATTTTAAAAAAAATGCGTATTTCTTGACTGCTGCCTCAAATTTTATTTAATCAGCTGATTTCATAATTTTGTTATTGGTTGGACTTTTCAAATAGAACGATCTTCATAGAGCCATCCAGCGTACACAGTCTGCAATGTTTAATCAAGTTCTGATTTTAATATCTACATTGCTGTGTCTTATCTTTACATGGTAAGTTCCATGTAGTTATATTATTACTGTTTTATTTCAAGCCAAAATTCTAATCTTACCTTGTTTAGGAAAATAAATAATGATGCTAAGAGGAAAGAATACTAAAAGAATATATGAAAATAAACTCCAGTATGTGAAAATATTACAATTCAGGTACATACTCCTTTCATTAAGTGGGACATAAAACCTCTGCCCCTTTTGTTTATATTGCTGTTATATTGCTGTATGTCTTCCCAAGGAATTGGTCCAAAGGGGAAGCTATTCCTGGGGAAGCTTTTCTTTATACAATGCTAATATTGGGACACAGGTAAATATTACAAATCACAACAGTAAAAGATTTAAGGAAAGCTGACAAATTTGGTTGTTCAATCTGTCCCCCCCTCATATTTTTATACTCATTTCTTGTTATGATTGCATGAATGCTGAAATAAAATATGAGCCTTAAAATGAACTTCTTAATTGCTTTCTCTTCAAACACTGAAGTCACACCATTTTGCATTTCTAATGTTTGTTACCTTTGATCTTTGTAGAATAATTGCCAACGACTGATAACAATATTAGAAACTATGCCTTGTTTTCTCCCTAAGGCTTTTCCCTTTCTTGAGTCATGGGAAACAAAAATATTTGACAGTAGTCTATATCTGATAAGGAGGCTAGCACTGCTTGCCAGGGAACATTATGTTCAGATTCAAGCCTGTGTTTTGTAAGTGACAGGAAAAGATGAAGAAAAAAGGCAAGTTGACCTACACCAATTATTGCTGCCTTCTGCATCTGCAGACACTAGTTTATTATGTATCATTTTATTCTAGTCTTGTTCTGGCTCTTGTAAAGTGGGGAAAAAATAGACTAAATACTGACAAAAAATATCAATGACACAGTTGTTAGCTAAGGAAATAAAGCAATTATCTATCATGGTAATTGAAATCACATTCAGGCTGCTTTAAAACAGTCCTCTGTTGATTTCTTTTTTGTTTATATTGCTGTTCCTTTGAATCTTTTAATTACAGCATTTATATTTTTGAGCGATTACTAGTAAATATTAATATTTTAGATAATTGCTTACATATACTGATGGTTATACTCTGCCAGGCAACTGTATATAATTATTTAAGAGCTTGCACTACTCTTAACTGAACTGCTTCAGGAATATATGGGTAGCACTAGATTCTTGCTTCATGTCATAAACATGTGCCAAAGCCACAAAGGAGAGGCAGAGGTCTCAAAAGACCAGTTGCCATGCGGTTGGGTAATGCTGTACAATGGCAGATGCTAGTTTATCAGTACAGTGGCAGATGCTAGTCTGATCACAATCTAATCATCTTCACAAAAACAGGGAGATACTCTGTGTCAAGGCCAAGTCTCCTCACCTTCCAAGTGCTTTATATTCACTCCTTTTCCATCCAGCTATTCATGAGAACATAGAAAGCTTTCACACGCTAATACTTTTTCAATATGAGCTTGTTTGTTTAAAAAGTTGTTGCAAAAACAGCTTAATCAAAGTGGTTTCATATGGAAGTAAATTCATGTGGACAGGGATATTTAATAACGTCAATTTTCCATCTATAACTGGATCATAAATTCAGAGCCCACTCTCCATCACCACATTATTCTCTCTCATCTGATACTTTGTTACAAATATATAATAATGATAGAAATGCAGTCTGCTTGGTAAAACAGGCCATTTTGAATGAGGTGCCAACTACATTCCCCTCAAGCTAATTACAATTACAAATTACATCTGATCTTTCCTCATTATTTTGTTCATTTTATCCCCATTCTATGAGTTTCTAAATAGGGTCCGTCAGGCCCCTGGTGGAGGCTGACTCTGAGGGAGAGGAGGAACAGCCGACCGGGAGTGGAAGTATGGCTCCGGAGGTTGTGGGAGAAGCTGGCAGAGGCCGGCCAGAGGGAAGGGCAGAGGCTGGCTGAGCAGTCAGAGGGGGACCCAGGCCTCTCTATCCGAGGGCACGCAGGGAGAGGATAAGGGAGATACATGGTCTATTCGGGAGGAGAGGGCATTGATCCTCTTCATGGGCTGCAGCTGTGACAACTGAATAAGAAGACGGACGTGCATACATGCGAGTGCTGGAAAAAAAGCAAGAAAATATTTCTAGTTTATGGTTCCTCTCTGAGTTTGGTGTCCAGCCCTTATCTTGCCTGGTTTGTGTTGTTTTTTCCCTACTTCTTGTAACTGTTTGTGTGGGAGTTTTTTTGTCTTCCATCAAGGATATTTGGAGCTTGGAAGCAAAGTGAAGGAATAAAAGGGGCTTCACCGGGTTTTTATGACTGTGTTTATTTTGTATCCCCCCGGGTCATCACAGGGTCAGAGTATAATAGCACATAGAAAGCTGGACCCTCAGACCCATTTGGTCTGATGGTTAAAGCACCAGCCTAGAAACCATAAGACTATGAATTCTAGTTCTTCCTTAAGTATGAAAACTTGACAGTTAATCTGTCTCAGCCCACAACGTCAGGCTCAGGTAAAAATTCAATTGGTCAATTTCTGTTGTAAGCAATGGATTTATCTTTGATTCCCCCCAAAAGCAGCCCCTGCACTTATAGGAAAACATTAGAAAAAAAAGAAAATAGTAAGCTGAAGAAGTTGGTGGAGCACCCCCCCCCAAAAAAAAGTACACCAGATGGAGTGTGGTTTAGAGCAGGGGTCCCCAACCACCAGGCCGTGGACAGGTACCGGTCCGTGGAACATTTCCTACCGGGCCGCCGGTTTGCTGGGCGCTGCCCTCTTGTTTGACGAGAAAGTGCTTCTGGGTGAGCTTTTCCGGTTGGAAAGCGGCGTTTGGGTCCTGAAGGAATCCTCGCGCCTTAGTTTCATCGAAGGGGGGGGCAGCTTCGAACGAAACTAAGGCGTGAGGATTCTTTCAGCACCCAAGGCGAGCCAAGTGACCGTCCCGAAGCGAAGCCCATCGACAAAGGAAGAGTTGAAGGTGGCGGGGAAAAGCGGGGGACGGCTGGCTGGCCAGTCGCTCGGCTCGCCTTGCCTTGTCATGCGTGCTGATGCCAGTACTGGGTCGCAGATCATTTTGTGATGCCGATATCGGGCCGTGGCACAAAAAAGGTTGGGGGCCACTGGTTTAGAGGTTAGTTATTCATTTAGGTTCAAGCCCAATTTCAGTGATGGGAGTTCACTAGATTTATCTCAGTCAGTTTTGAATTGTTCTAAGTTATGAATAAAATAAAAAGGATGCCTGCATAAACTATCTAGTGTTTCTCAATTAAGAGCAGGATTTTAATCTGACTAATAAAGCTTAATAAAGGCTAATTTTGATTTCATACAAAAAAAAATTATTTTAGTTTAACTAGACAGTATGGCCCATGCAGGTATATAAAGTGATAAAATGTAAATAATGTTAGTTTTCTTCATATTATAAAATACAGTTTTATAAAATATGGGGCTGGGGTCTTTGATGGATCCATCTCATTTTTGCCTACTTGCAAGTCACCATTTAACATAGTTTGATTTATTTGCCCCATTTTGCTGCTTTGTTCCACATCTGAGATACAGTTTCAAATTTTATTAGATGGAATATTGGAGCTGATCGATCATTTCTTAATTATGATTCAAATTATATAGCACTCTAGGTCATTCTGTGATATCATTTCAGGAACTCTGGCATATTTTTTGTCTCATAATCGAGCTGGGATTCAAAATCCCAACAACCAGTTCTCTGGCCAGTTGTTGGGTGGGTGTGGCCATGGTAGGTGTGTCATACTGGAACTTCTGCGACGGCATTTTTCGCCTTCCCCAGAGTCTGGAGGCTTCCTTTGCGCCTCTGGGAGGGTGAAAACGGCCTTGTCCATGCTCCAGAGGTCCTCTGGAAGCCGGAAACAGGCCTGGGAGCCATTTTTTGCCCTCCTAGAGCCTCCACGTGGACCCTGCACTTACCTGCATCCAAAATGGGCCATGTGGAGACTCCAGGGAGGGGAGGGAAGGGGTGGGCAGGGCCAGCCGGTTGGTTCAACTACCAGTTCGGCAAATCAGATGTAAATTTAACATCCGGTTCACCCGAACCAGCTGAATCCCACCCCTACTCATAATATGTAGTGAGAGAAAGACAAGTTTTATATGGCAGAATGAGGATTTATTCTTTATCCATTACACCAATACCTTTATTTTCAATTTTTCTGTGCTTTCAAACATGTATATTCTCCAATATACTTAAGAGACATTAATATGATGATTTTTTTAAAGAAGACCTGAGCTTTAAAATGTTACCTGTTTTGTAAAGGAATTGGATTTTATTTTACTGACAGAAAATTAATCTCATTGTCTATCAAAAGTTTTTGATTTCTTTAACTATATGAGTACTCTTCACTTAACAATTTGCTTTGTGTCTACTTGATGTATTTATTACAGGTTTTGAATAAAGTAGTCCTTGTTTTGAATATCATTAAATATGCATTGGGAATTAATATCTGTTTGAAATCTCTTCCTTCTGGCATACTCAAATAATTACTCAAATAATTCATGCCTTATTTTTGATAATTTCACAGAGGAGTTGTGTCATTTACATAAGGTACAATTCTTTATAGAATTATTGATATAATTATTTCAGATGGGGCATCTTGAGTAGTAGATAGAGTAGAATGGCTTGTGCTGCAGTAGTATGAAATAGTAGCTAATTGATACTCATGGCAGGCTCTAGCCAGTTACTCTTAGGATTATTGCTGGCTTTCTTATCTATCCAGGCTTGTGAAGCAACATTTTTATGAAATTCTGGTCATTTGAGAGGAATAATTTTCCAAAATTTGTGCCTGGACTAGTGTTTGTCAAGTTGGGTATAGACAGTAGGTTCTGTTTCGTTCATCAAGCATCTTGAGCCTTACTTCCCAGAGATTAGACTACTTTACACATCTACTGAATCAAGCATAAAAACCATAATATACAGCAGTAAAGTTACTCATTTTTTCTCACCTAAAATCCATGATAAGAGCCAGTTCAGTAGAGTGACATGGGCTAAGGCATCAGACTAGAAAGCAGG